CAATCCATTATGTCGATGTCGTCGGCGTAGGTGAGTAACATATGCTGTTTTGTATACAGAGTACCATTTCTGTTCCCATTTGCATCTCATATGACCTTTTGCAGCAGGATGTTAAAAAGCCCACACGACAAACAGTCGCCTAGTTCGAATCCTCGTTCGGTATTGAAGGGATCTGAAAGGTCCTTTTCGACGTTAACTGCTGATCTTGTGCCAGTTAATGTTATCCGTATTAATTTTGCAGGAATGCCGAAAGCATGACTTTAAACACCTCTTAACTGATAGGGCTATCGAATGCGGCTTTATAGTCGACGAATAGGTGGAATGTGTCGATGTGCTTTTCGTGGGTCTTTACCAGGATTTGGCGCAGAGTGAAAATCTGGTCTAGAGTGTATTTGCCAGGTCCGAAGCCGCATTGGTATTGACAAATAATGTGACCATTGGCTTCAGTCGTTCACACAGCACGCTGGATAAGACTTTACATGCAATGAAAGAGGGAAAAACATACGAGGATTCAGGACTGACATGTTAAGTTGGCTTTGTATTAAATGTCAATTTATAAATATGAATTTGGGCGCCATTCTCCTTTACTCTTTTACAATAAAAGAAGCCAACTTAACATCGCAATCCTGAAATCCTCTTGTGTGTTTCCCCTTATTCCTCTATAGTTGGCACATATCACATTGTTTCCTTTTTTGTGTCAGAAGTATATATATACACTCTACCATTTTTGAAAGGCACTCTTGACCAAATTTTGCTTTTTTGATAGTGTAGCATCTCATGTTTGTCACTCATCAGGCAACCACAAAAATATTCAAAGTTGTTGGCATGATCCAATAATAAGGTCGTCCGATAAGCCCAAATGATTTCACCCGAGCTGTCAAAATGCTTTCGATTTTGACTAAATTGTGTGAAAATGTAAACAAAATTGGTCTGTTCCCGTACTGCAAGAATCTACTAGATTTTACTATTTTCTTCGATATCATAAAGGAAAAAAGTGTTATCGTAGTAAAAAATATTAGATTCTTGTAGTACGGGAACATACCAAATATTTGACAGTATGGGGGATTTTACTCCAAAATTGTCGATAACGATTGCTTCTGACACGACCTGTTTATTGGATCATGGTTGTTGGACAGTCAGTAATTGATAAAAAAATAACTGCCACTCAAAAGTGCAAGTGTGTACACCGCTTTGGAATTGTTTAACGGGAAGTGTGGATTTTTAAATATATATTTAAAGCGGATTTACATATGACATCTAAAAGCAAATTTACATAGAACATTTAATCATGATTAAAGGCTGAATCAGGGTTTATTTTCTTAATCAGGCTAAATTTACCATGATTTACCACACAAATTTTAATCATCGTGCAGCAGGATTTATTTTAAATCATGATCGAAATCATGATACTACTGAGATGCAACGCGGGTTTCGTACGAAAAAATACAACTCTCTCACAATGTACCAAAATTTGCAACTGTTTTTACATGCCGTTTGTTTTTAAATTTAACGGCTGAGAAATAAAAAAATGACAGATCAAAGGAAAATAAAAATTAATTATAGAATTTTTGTGTTTTTAGGTGTTTTTTACTTTCCAAACGATCACAGTATTGCAAAAACATTTCCATTGTGGTAATTCTTCTATTCTTTTTCAAATTGCAAACAAATATTTTTGGCGCATATTAATAATTTTGTATGTATACTAACAAACATCAGCTGATCGGCATTTAGATCATGATTAAGGGTATGTGTAAACAATTAGGGTGTATTTCTGGATTTCGTTAATCGAGTCGATTTAAAATCGTATATGTAAATGTACTTTAATCATGATTAAAGGCTGAATCAGGGTTTATTTCCTTAATCAGGCTAAATTTACCATGATTTACCATACAAAATTAAATCATCGTGCGGCATGGTTTATTTTAAATCATGATCGAAATCATGATACTACTGAGATGCAACGCGGTTTTTGTGCGAAAAAATACAACTCTCTAACAATGTACCAAAATTTGCAACTGTTTTCACATGTTGTTTGTTTTTAAATTTAACGGTTACCAAATACAAAAATTAAATAACAATTATTTATAGAATTTTTGTGTCTTTCTTTGTTTTCTTTTTTAATTTCGAAACGATCGCACCATTGCAAACACATTTCCATTGTTGTAATTCTTCGTTTCATGTTCAAATTGGAAACAAATATTTTTGCAGAAAATTAATAATTTTGTATGTATACTAACATACATCAGCTGATCCGTATTTAGATCATGATTAAAGGTATGTGTAAACAATTAGGGTGTATTTCTGGATTTCGTTAATCGAGTCGGTTTAAAATCGTATATGTAAATGTACTTTTATTTTCCTTTCAAAACACAGTGACTCTTGTGGGCCTTCCTATTAAACACAATTGTCATTGATAAGTCTGCTTTTCCACAGGCAAATTTTTATTTGGCAAATACTGAGTTTGTAGGCGAGAGTGGTGCGAGGAAGAAAAACAAAAATTTGCCTGTTCAGAATTTGCCGTACACGCAAATTCTGCTTTGCTCTGTTCGTTGAAAACAATTTTGTTGACATTTCCTTTTGAACTTATTCGCTTTACTGACACAAAGCCGGCTTTTATTTACAAACCTGTTGCTTTAATTTGTGCAAGTACAATTTAATTTTTGCAATTTATATAATAAAATATATAAAAAATAAATAAAGTATTAAAAAAATCTTTAAAATGCAAACACTTTTGACGTTTTTTTCTTTTGTATTTTGATTCGCAAATTTGGAAAAGAAAAGTTTGCTAATGGAAAAGCAAGCGAAAATTTCAAAAGAGAAAACAAAAAATTTGCCAAATAAAAATCTGCCTGTGGAAAAGCGGACTAAGTCATATATCGCTGACATACGGCAATGTTTATAGTGCTCCACCAGAGAAATCAATGACTGAAAGAACAAATGGTGGATGCTGCATTGATAAAGGGGACATTAATTGATATCTTTTCATATTTATAATTAGTTTTATGGTCTATTGTTCTTGTATCATCGGTAATTTCCCCATGATTAAAAATTGTTAATGTTTCCATTGAAGAAACACTTTCGAATTTGATAACCCTACAGTCAATCGTTTTTGATCTATAGACCCCTAAACCTCGGCGCCAAAATAGAACAGAAAGCAAAAAAACAAACGAATTATTCATTTGTTTTATAAAATTTATTAGAAATCAATTTATAAAAATGCTTACCAAGGAAGATGTTGAAGGTTGGAACAAGGTGTTTGCCGATTGTCAAATAAAACAAAGTGATTTGACCCAACCCACCGAGGGTTTCCTCATAAGAGCCTTGGTTTGTTATATTCGCCGTTTTGGCTACAAAGTGGAACCGCCATTTCCATTGAATAAAAGCGATACAGTGGAAAACAATCGTGAGAATCGTTTATTTCTTATACGGCTGGCACGTCAGATTGATCATTTTCTCAAGATTACCGATAAGTCGTATTCCTTTACGTATTATGAGCTGATAAGGCCAAGTAAGTTGGGCGGGATGTGTTAAGGAATAAAATAATTTAATATCCCCCTTTTATTATAGCTCCCAAAAAGACTTCACACACCTTGTATATATTATTAAATTATCTATTTTATTATAATATGTATAAGGAGGAGGTATTTAAAATGGCCCAAGAGCCCATACAAAAATACCATGAACTAAAGGCGCAGATAGAACGCCAACAACGTGAAAATGAATTGAAGGCCCAACAGTCTAATGAACTTAAAATGACTGTGGATGAGTTGACAAAGAAGTTGCCACAACTAAGAACCGAACATAGGGAATTGGCAAAACGCAAGGCCAGCCAAGACGAGTCACTACAAAAGCTAAAGGAGTCCTGCGAAGAATTGTCCGAAAGGCTAAAACATTTACACGAACAAAAGAGGAGTCTGCAGAAAAAGGTAGTGGCCGATGAGGAGTCACGAGAATTACAAAAACATATCGACAATATTAAGGCCGATATTGCACGCCATAAAGAAATGGCGAACACCAGTGAAAATTCCTTGCGAGAACTATCCAATAGCGTGGAATTAATGCAACGCCTCAAGAAGGAAATTGAAAATGCCAGGGATATTGTGCCACTGCGTCTAATTGATCAGCTCAAGGAAACCAATAAACAACTGGAAAAAGCCATGGCTGATGAACGTACGGCCCAGGAGAGGCGCAGCATTCTAACACAAAATATCGAAGATGAGCAGCAAAAATATGAAACTCTGGAACATCAATATGTTACCAAGAAACAACAGTTCGAGGTTAAGGAAAAGGCTCACAAAGAGTCGCTGCAAACCTTGCACGAGGTGCTAAAGGAGAAAACCGATCATTTGGCTAAATTGGAGAAGGAAGAGCATGCCTTGGATGGTCAAATTGATGAGCAGAAGGATATTGCGGAATATCTTGAGGAAACTATTTCCGAGATATTAACCACCTATGTTATCAGTGAATATCAATAATCATTAAATGGTGTCGAGGAATTAGGTGTTTTTATGTTATTATTTTTTACTTACAAAAGAATCTTCTAAAATTAAACTCTTAAAAAACAATTACGAAAAAAATGTTTTCCGATTTGTGAAATGAGGGCTGGTTGCATTTTTCTTTACGTTTCCATGGCTTGTTTTTCCAAATGGGCCTTCAACTGTACACTGAAGTCGTCTTCGACATTATCATCATCCCAGTTGTCTTCCCAAACATTGACTTCATCCTCATCTTCATTGACGGCATTGAAATCTGTGGTGGAGACAAGCACAACAATGCGGTGAGTCTTATTCTTCATTCTTTTGTTATTTTATTCGCAACTTACCTTCGGCTGGAAACTCCTCAAATTCATCATCTTCCTCCAACAAACCCAAATCACCTTTGGCTGTTTTCTCTTTATCGGCAGACATTATTATTTTGTTTCTTGTTAGAATTTGTTTTATCTTGAAATAATAATTCTTTGCAAAAATGCTTTACAAAGCCTTCGGTTGTACAAATTCCGGATTGTTTCTCTATTTTGACAGTGTCAATTTTGCCGTCTCACTCGGTTTTGACAGTGGCTAAATAAGGTCAACCTAATTTAAAAGCGTTCGTTTCGAACTCTGCGAATAGGTGATTTGGAAGAGAAAAGCCGATAAAGACCAGATCGAAACGAAAATGGAAGGCAATTATCAAGTTTACGAATGAGCGTGAAGCAAAACGCAGCGGTACTCGTCATGTTTAGAATGACGGCAATCAAAGCGGGAACGAATGGAATGAAACATGGTGCAGTTAGTGGTAAACGTAACGTGCACGACCTTAAGGCGTTAGATTAAAAGAAACAAAAACAGATAATTCAGTGGTTCTGGACCTATATTCTTAATATATGAAGGCTGAAGGGAGTCTTAAGTCCTAGATGAGGTCTCTATAGACCAGTTGAATTTAGGGAGTTGAAAGCAGCATTTATATAGGAGCCCGAAAGAAGTCTTTGTAGACGAAATAAATGGAGACTTCTTTAAGGAGCACATTAAGGACTCTTTTTTTTGTGGGTGAGTTGAAGGTCCGTAGTATTTACAGTCGACCTACAGGCATTGCATCTTTATAGACAAACTAAAGGGTGTTTTAAGAGGAGTAGAAAGCAAGACGAATGGAATTTTTAAAAGCGAACAGAGTGGGGGAGACGTACAGGAGTTCAGAATGAAGACAGGAAATGTTACCAACGAGAAAAACCCCAAACCGAAGGCTTTGGAATCCTGGTGACAGATACAGATAGCGAATTGTGGATCTGGAAGGGGCATTTTGCAAAGCTTCTGGTATCAAATAGTGGCGGTGAAGAAGATACCCCAGAACCATTAATATACGATGGTATAGAGTGTATACCACGTAACCAAGATGAGGTCAGAATAGCAATTAATCGACTGATGAACAATAAAGTAGCAGCAGGTGCCGCTGCCAGATTTCCAGCCGAACTATTCAAGACCGGTGTTCAGATGCTAGTCTGGAGCATGCATCAGCTGCTTAGTACAATTTGGAGGAATTTGAAGGAACCTTAGCATCCTGTGTCCCGTGCACAAAAAAGACGGAGACAAAACAATATGTGTCAACTATAGAGGAATTAGTATCCTTCTCATCGCATATAAAGTGCTATCCAGCGTGCTGTGTGAACGACTGAAGCCAATGGTCAATGACATTATTGGACCATATAGATGTGGCTTCAGGCCTGACAAATCCAACATTTTCACTCCAGATCCTGGAAATGACCCACGAAAAACACATCGACACATTCCAGCTATTCCTCGACTATAAAGGCACTGTATTCGACAACCCTATCCGTTCAGATGTGTTTAAAGACATGTCTGCGTTTGCAATTCTTGCAAAATTAATACGGCTATGTAGGATAGCTTTAAATGGTACAATGTCAGCATTAAAAGTTGGAAAGGACCTCTCGGAGCCCTTTTATATCGAACGACGAGGATTCAGACAAAGCGACAGTTTGTCTCGCGTGATCTTGTTAACATCCTGCTTGAAAAGGTCATACGAGATGCAAATGTGAACAAAAATGGCACTCTGTACATCCAAACAACACATGTTACTCGCCGACGACATCGACATAGTGGTTCGAACATTGCGAGCGGTAACAGCTAAAGTGTAGTAGATTCGGACCAACTGTTGAACTTGAAAATTACAGCTTCGAGGTACCGCCATAAACAAAACTCGGACGGCTCACAAGAAAGACGCATTTATAGAGTTAATCACGCCTACGAGCCTAAAAAAATTACAAAATGGGTCTGTGTTTCGCTTAACTTGCCACTTGTTTTAGCTATCGAATCAAACTAAAAATATAAGAAAATCTCGTTACATATGGTGTATGGTCCTATACCTTCTATTTTAATAGAACGTGGACTAGCTGGTGGAGGAACTGCCTCCAGTATTAAAAGAGGAAAAAATAAATAACATCAGCTTTGAAATCCGTAGGAGAATAGTGTTAGCCAACAGATGCTTCCATGGTCTGAGTAAGCAACTCAAGCAAGGCCACCTCCCGCCAGACCAAACTCACACTCTACAAGGCACTGATACTGCCCGTTCTGTTATATGGACCTAAGAATGGCTACTTGCGCAAGCAGATGAGGCAGCTTTTGGAGTGTTTGAGAGAAAATTTCTCCGAAAGATCTATGGTCTGATCTGCCTCGAATGAACCGTGAGCTATACTATCTATTCTCGGACATCGACATTGTCAGACGTATCGAGCTGCAGCAGCGACTACGTTGGCTAGGGCATATTGTGAGAATGGGTGCGGCATATAAAAGCGAATCAGCTGATGGTTCACGAATTCGATGAAATGATCAAGTGGATGACCATATCTCGGAACATATTCTCTCAAATTGGATGAGCACCTGCGCACAAGGCTTATGGAACAAATGTTCTGTCACAAGTCAGCTAAGTAAGTTCATATTTGAAAACTTATTCCACAGTAGATTTTGAACATACGAAGATCTCTGGAGGCTCACAAATACTGACGAATCTATCCATTTATGGTTATGAAATGGGATTTGACTCTAAGATCATAATGTCTGCGATGGGGGAATGATAAGGTTTTGCTTGTCATGATCTTTGTTATAAAAAGTAGCGAACACCACGATCACTTGTCAAAGGGTCGTGTGGCCTATTATCTGCAAGTTTTGCGTGAACAAATTTTATTCACACGTAATTGTTGTAGCGATTTTTTTTTATATACGAGATAAGATTAGATATAAAAACTGGAGATTTTTTTAGTTTAATATTAAAAATATTCTTTAAAAACCCACGTCTATTCTCAATTGTACATACGGACGTATGTGTGAAAATGTTCTATGATCATTTTTTGAGTACATTTTGCCTTCCAAGCCGTTGGCAATTTTGTAAATTGTTGACAATTTCGTTCATGTCCGTGTTTACCTATTTGTTTAACAATTGTTTTTTTTATAAAATAAATTAAATTAGTTTTTTAGAGGGTGGTAGGTGGTGTAGGTTACTGTAATAACTATGAGAGCAGTTGTTTTTTTTGTTTGTTATTGTAAAAACAAATATTTGTATAATGAGCACGTCCAAAACGAGATTATTTTGTAGACGATGACTTGCTACAAATCAATTAATGTTATCATGTTATCTGCTTCCATATTGAGAATGGCGATGGCACACGACGCCGAGAGAATAAACGTAACACCAACCACAAGAGCGGACAAGATCAACAATGGGTCTTTAATCAAAAAATACAAAAATAACAAATTCAAACATTTTTTTTTTGCGAGTAAAAACAATCTCATCAGTAAATTACACGAAAGCTCTTCAAATAGTATAAGTGGTGCTAACTTAAGGGGAATTTAAAATAGTAAAAAATATATTTTTAGATTTTTTAAAAATATACATTTTTAATGGCCGGTCTATAAAGTATAAGGAAGTCTTTATAGTTCAGCTGAAGGCAGTATTTTTAGACGAGCTAACGTGAGTCATTATATACGTGAAAAAAATGAGTCTTTCACAAAGGAGCTAAATGGAGACTTTTGTAGACGAGCTGATGGGAGTCCTTTATCGACGAGCTGGAGAGAGACTTTTGTAGAAAAACTGAAGGGAGTCTTTATAGACGAGCAAAAGTGAGTTGTAATAGACCGGCAGAAGCAGTCTTTATAGTTCATCTGAAGGGAGCCTATATAGACGAACTGAAGGAAGGAAGTCTTTAGAGACGAGGGAGGGGGGATTTATATACAAGTTAAAGCCAAAGAAGGATTTTTGACGTCGTACTGAGGTCCATAAAAATATTTTTTTTTTTAAACAAGTATATATTTCTTTAAACCCCAGGCCTTGATTGAGGTCCTAAAAAAATATTCTTTAATAAATCCAGGATTTTTGTGGTCCTTGTATATTTTATTGAAAAATCGAAGCATATTGAGATCCTTAGAAAAATTGTCTTTAAACAATCCTTGAAAATTTATTCTTTAAACAATCCACGCCTTGTTTGAGGCCCTGAAAATATATTCTTTAAAAAATCCAGGTCTTGTTTGAATCTTCGAAATAATATTTTTTTGAATCCTTAAAAAACCCACGCCTATTGAGGTCCTTACAAAGATATTCTTAAACCAGTAAGGAAAGTAGTAAAGTCGGACTATATCTAAATCTGAACCGATTTTCACGAAATTTAACACACATCGTTCTGGAATTAATTCAGAACACTGTGCCAAATTTCATGCAAATTGAAGGATATACAGGGACTTCCGTGCACCATTTACATAAAATCGGACGAAAATATATATGGGAGCTATATCTAAATCTGAACCGATTTTCTCGAAACTCGCCACTCATCATTCTATACTCAATTCAGTACGCTATGCCATCTTTCGTGCACTATATACCTTAAATCGGACGAAAATATATATGGGAGCTATATCAGAATCTGAACCGATTTTCACGAAATTTAGCACACGTCATTTTAAACTTAATTCATTGCGCTATGAGAAAATTCGTGCAAATCTAATGATCTTCAGGGACTTTGGTGGACTATATACCTTAAATCGGGCGAAACTATATATGGGAGCTATATCTAAATCTGAACCGATTTTCCCAAATTTAGCTCACATCATTGTCCACTTAATTTAGTACGCTGTGCCAAAATTCGTGCAAATCTAATAATTTTCAGCGACATTGGCGCACCATTTACCTAAATCGGACGAAAATATACATGGGGCTATATCTAAATCTTGTCCTTGGGCCAAACCAATGGGCTGTGCCAAATTTCATCCAATTCGGATAATAAATGCGACATGTACTTTGCTCACAAAAATACATGGACGAACGGACGGACGGACAGACGGACATGCATAAATCGACTCAGAATGTGATTATATGCATATTCTCAAAAGTAACCATGGGTCTATCTCGATTATTTTTGCCTGTTACAAACATATGCACAAAGACTTAATACCCTGTATCACAGTG